TTGGGAAATTTTCAGCTATTACTTCTCTAAATATCCTCTTGATATCCTTTATGTTGTCCCCTTCTTTTTCATTTATCCCTATTAATCTTATGTTGTTTTTCTTTGCATCATCTTGTAGCTGTTGAATTGTTACTTCCTGATTCCTTGTTTTTTTAAAAAAGATCTTTCCTTTCCTGTTCACTAGCTGCAATCTTGTCTTCAAGGTCTGAAACTCTGTCTTCACTTTCATTGAGTCTGTCTTAACAACTTTCAATGGATTTTTTGATTTCCTGTATATCTCTTTGAATCTGCCTCATGCATTCTGTTTGTTTCTTAAATTGTTCATCCAGGGATTCTATCTTTTTGTTTTGTTCATCTAATTTTTCAACTGTATCTTCTTTAGATGTGTTCAGCATCTCTTTCATTACTTTTATCATTTCTTCTTTTACCTATTTCTAATTTGAAATCCTTTAAAGCTTCCCAGAGTTGCTTCTTTATTTTGGTTGCTATTTTATCAGGTATTTCAGGTGTATGGCGTGTATTTTCTTCTATGTACGTGGCTCCTAGGGTTTCTTGGGATGGGCTGGAGGTTTGAGATTGCATTTTGGTCTTTTGTTTTGTCATTTTCCTGTATTTCTGTGTTTCAAGTATTTTTCTAAAGCTTCCCCTGGATGTGTTGGAAATCATCTCCTATGCTCTAGGCTCCTGGGACTGAATGGAGGTTGCTGAGCATGATTCAGTCAGGCTCTCAGGCCCTCCTGTGCTACCTTCAACGTTCCAGGTAGCTGGGAGGGCTCCTACCCACTGTAGATGATGGGCTAAAGTTCTCGCCAGGAAAAGACCAATGCCCTGAAACTCACTTCACCTCCACTCCCGTAATTGAAGAAGGTTGCAGGGGTAATCTACTCAGGCTGCAAAACCTCCCATGGCGAGTCTAGAGTGGCTAGGCTCCTGGCAGCTCCTTGAGCTCTGGGAGGCTCCTTGAGATCTGGGAGCAATGATCTTAACACAATGTCCCAGGCTTGGGATGGCTCGCAGACTCACCCCAGCCACCAGCTGAGTTTCCTGGTCCCTCGTTCCAGAAAAGGTCGCTGGGCGTGTCCTGGGCAGGACTAAAACCTGCTAGGTGAGCACAGCCTAGTGTGGCTGTTCTCTGGGGGAGGTCCTTGAGCTCTGGGAACAATGATCTTAATACAGGCTCCCAGGCTCTGAATGGGGAGCAGATTCACCCCAGCCACCAGCTGAGTTTCCCTGGTCCCAGGTTCCAGAGAGGGTCGCTGGGTGTGTCCTGGGCAGGCCTGAAACCTGCCAGGCAAGCACAGCCTAGTGTGGCTGGGCTTTGGCCGGGCCCTTGAGCTCTTGGAGCAATGACCTTAACACAGTCTTCCAGGTTCTGGATAGGGAGCTGACTCACCCCAAGCTGACAGCTCACCTCTTTGTTTATTTAAAACTGCCTCTCTTTTAATTTTCCATTATTTTAGTTTATTGGCATGTGTGTGTATTACAAAATATTTACATTCCTTGTGGGAAGTTGGTATGTGCACATAGCACAATTTAATCACTTTTTCATCCCCTTTCCCTTCCCCTCCCCTCCTCTCCACCCATCCCTTCATCCCCTACATTTTTTGTACATGTTTATAGTACATAATGTTTGTTTTCTTTGTGTGCTGTTGATACATGTATGCATTATATACATTACCAAGTCCTCTAGCTCTTTGAATATATTTTTAATAGCAGATTTAAAGTCTTTGTCTAGTAAGTCCACATCTGAGCTCCCTCAGTGTGTTTTTATTGATTGCTTTTTTATAATCTGTATATGGGCCACATATTCATGGGGTTTTTTTTGTGTGCCTTATAATTTCTTCCTGAAAACTGGTCTTTTAAATAATTATTATATGTGACTCTGGAAATCAGATTACCGCCTTTCCTCAGGTCTTTTTTTTTTTCTTGTTTATTGTAATTGTTTCTGGATTTTATTATGTTAATGTTCTGTTTTGTTGCTATTTGTTTGTTTAGTTCCTTACTGGACTAATTCTGTAATATCTGTAACTTTGATAGTGTTCCACTGAATCTCTATTGGTTAGCTTAGTGATACCTGAATGACTGAGAGATTTCATTAAAAACCTAAATTTAAAAGAATATTTTTTACCTTTCAGTGAGTGGCCCTATTGAGCCAAGCCTTCAGTAGTCAGGCAGGCATTCTGTAGCTCTGCCTTGGCCTTCCCTGTGTGCCTTCACAGAGCCTCAAGATTTGACCAGGCATGAAAACTTAGGATCTTCTTAGACTTTCCTGGTTATGTGCACAGCTCCCCACATCCTTGTAGCCTTTGAAGTCTCTCTAACTATCCTGAAACATTATAAAGTCCTTTAAGGGGCTGAATATATATCTCATTCTTTATATGTTTCCTTTAAGTTTGTTGACCAGTGTCTTTTTCCCAGTTGGTATAGCTGTCTCAGGAACCTATGTTTGTTTTTTTCTTTTTTAATTGCCACACATTCTTTTCCAAAAACACTAGAGATAGGGCTTTTCCTACTTGAGTAAACTCTAGGTCAGATCAAATAATGACCAATCTTATGAAAGGAGTTTTGCCAGGAATCTTCCACAGAATTATCTAAGAGTGAGAGTCTGTGAATAACTCCAAACCCACTAGTGTCTGTTAGCTTGCTGGTTTTCACTGATTTTCTGATAGAGAAGCAATTGGCTTTCAAAAATGTTGTACATCTGGAGAAAAGTGGATAGGAATAGGACAAGATCAAGTGCCCAGAAGTCCTGCTGTCAGTATTGACATTTTACTGCATTTTTAAAAATAAATGTTCCTCAGGATGCTGCAAACTTTCCATTAATTTTCAGAGTTCTGAATGAGTTGATTTGGTAATATTTTATTCAGTGTTTTGGTTTAAGAAAAGATTTTTGGAGGTTCTTACTTTATTGTGCATGAAGGGCTCCATCTTTACCTGTAAGAAGGAAGAAAGGAAGGAGGGAGGGAAAAGGATGGAAAGAGAAAGGAAGGAAGGAAGGAAGGAAGGAAGGAAGGAAGGAAGGAAGGAAGGAAGGAAGGAAGGGCTGAATATATATCAATAATAGAATGCTAAATGAATCATGGTACAGCTCATGTAGTGGAATTTTGTACAGTAAATAAAGAGATACAGAGTAGAATTTTATGTTAGAATATGAGTGATAAATGAAATTTTTTATATGATCATATGTATTCTGTGTAGTTGTGTGTACATGTGAATGACCAAACATGTTAACTAAAGAGGAAGACCTGAAACTAACTCATTTTATCATAAGAAAATAAAGGCTACCCTTGAGAGTACGTGAATTGGAATATCCAATGCTACTTTAAAAAATAAACCACTGTGAGGGATTTTTACTTTGTTGTTTGTGGTTTTCTTTTTTCACTAATTGGTTATAAATGTTTCTTAAGAAATATTTGTGCTGCACTGAAACCCTTTTTGAGGGAAAAATAAAAGCTCAGTTGGTCCCATTTAATGTGTGAATGCTTCTTTTCAAAGCAGTCACATCCCTTTCTCTTTTCTTTCAAACACTGGGCAGGAACACAGGCACTTAAATTCAATGACAAACACTTTGAATAGTGAGACCCTTTAGTTCAAGGACCCTTTTCACAATTTCATGAAAACTGTATGTCTTCTTTCCAGAAAAATGTACGTAGATACACTACTTTCCTATAATTTTCAAGCATTTGATTAAATTGATCGATCAGATTAAGAACCAAATAGTTTCATCACTATCAAGATATTTGAAGAAAAGGCAGAGATCTTGAAACTTGAAGTCCTTGACTTATACAGAGGAAAAAAGAGACCCACAGAAGTGACTTGTCCAAGGATGTCTTATTAGATGGTACCAGAATATGAGCCCCATTCAGAAATCCCAACTTTGATGTCAAAGTTCTTCTCCAAGACACCTATAGTCATACAACAAATGGTGGTCCTCTTAAGGGCACTCAGGTTCTTAGAGGACCTGTGATAAAAACAAGCTTTTATTATTGTGGCTTCTCCATCTGTCTTGGTTAATGTTTTCATTTCTAAGACATAATACCCAATACCCACAATTTAAAGAAGAAAAGGTTTATTTTAGCTCATATTTTGTAAAAGTTTCAGTCTGTAGTCAACTTCCTCCAAGGCAAGCCTGAGGAACATGGCAAAGGATAAATAGCCCATGCCAGGGAAGGCAGGAGATAGCAAAGCAATAGCAGTGAACCTCCTTTTCCTTTTTTATTCATTCAGACTACAAGCCTATTGGCTGGTACCATCTATATCTAGGGTGGGACTTCCCATTATCTATACCTGGAACTATGCTATATCTATACCTGGAACCAATCAGTGGGCTAATTTTAATTTATTACACACTCTAATTCACATTTCCATATCTACTCTTAACCCATAGATCCAAGAAAAGCCCCCATTATGAGTGCATGAGTCATAGCGTCTGACTCTAACACTCATTTCTGAGTCCAAAGCATTCTAGAGACAGAAAATCAGACGGCAACAGGTTACTTGTTATCCAACAGGTATCACTAGATTCAGATGGCTGCACTATACCTGGCCTCATAACTGTGCTAGGGATCACAGAGTAAGCACATGACACAAGAAAATCCAGCTCTAAAGTTAATTACCCAATCCTGAAGCAACCAGATGATCCATGGACTGTAAACATCAGCCCAAGAGAAGAGAATGGAGAATTTGGTGGTGGTATGAATACATAGACAGGAATCTAAGGAAGAGAAAAAGGAATTAAGGATGTAGAGAAACTAAAAATGAGTAAAAGAATAAAAAATATTTGGGAAAGGCAAAACAAAAAGAGCTGTAGATAAGATTATGCAAGGATTTGAAGGAGTATAGAGAAGGCAAAACAGCCACGTCTAACAGGAGGTTTGCCAATGGTTTCCTCACACACACACACCTCAGCCCTTGGAGTTCTTGCATGCAGCCCCAAGTAAGTCCCCATCCCTGGGCCAACCTAGACACTAACCACCCTTGTGTTTGCTTGGTCTCCACAGCTACCCTTCACAGAAGGCCTTTACCACTTTTATCACAATGGCCTCGCAAAAGCTAAGAGAAGACGCAGCCTGCAGCATAAGCAGCAGCTGGAGAGAGACCCCAGGGTGAGTTCTCCCCGGAAACCTGCCTCTACTGCCGGCCTCCACTGCTTGATGGAGCTTGATCAGAGCTATAGAGAGAGGCAGGCAGTGAGGATGGAAGTAACAGCATTTTGTGTACTGCGATGCCAAAAGATCCCTGGCAGAGTGGCACTAGGCACTCTCTGCTTCTCTGTGTTGTGCATAATAAGTAACCTTAGGCCCCTTTAGAGGGCAGGGATAGGAGAAAACCAGATAGCCACTCTTTCCTGACATCCTCTTCTGTGTGTGTCTTTGGGTTGCTGGAAGTGTGTATGGGCCTGTGATGGATGGAAAAACACAACAAAGTTTTAATAGGTCGCTTTACAGGCAGTTTCCCCTGGTAAGTGCGTGTGCTCTAAGGAAGTTTCCACACCCCGTATTATGAATGGGGAAGTGAATGTCCCAGGAAATGACCAACTCATAACCAGCCAAGGGCCATCTCAGTCTGTCTTCTCGCCTTGCATTGTCCTACATTGACCTAATTTAGCCCTTGGCCCAAGTGTCTGCTTGATGCTCATTATCCCCAAGGTTTTATGTCCGATCTCTGTCTATAGTTGAACTCCTAGATTCATTCTCTACTCCCTTGAACATCCGGAAGGGGAATCCCAGGGTTCTCACTCCCTGCCTTTCCCAGATGAATCCTCCTCTTCCAGTCTCCTGTCACCTCCATTAATCTGCACACTCCTCCCAGTGTGTAGACTCTGGTTTCCCTTGTGTGAAACACTAATGGGGAAAGAAACAGAAGCAAGTTGCTTTCTATGTGCAGAGGGTGGCATGGCGTCTTCCCCCAGACTTGTGGGGAAGAGCAATAAAATCAGAACAGACCTTTGAAGTAGGGACTTGCACATGAGACCCTTTCTGAGCTAGTGCAATCCAGGAATACCTTGGTGTGGGACTTCTCATGTGAACATTTTGAGTGGTTTAATTTGAGCTATAACTGGAAATTAAAGGCTTGCCAGCAGATGACCAGCAAATAGGTCACCAGCAATTTTTCTCTGATTCCTCAATGCAGATCTTCCCTCACAGCCCAGAGTAGAATTTCTGCTCTGAGAAGTCTTATTATCATTGCTTTCACAGTAAGTGCCAAGAGGCTGGGCTGCCAGCCCACACTAAACATTCTAATAGGTGAAGTTGGCAGCAGTCGCTGGGGAGAAGCCCACCTTTATGGGTGATAACATCTCTGGCTTTGGGGGTACCATTCAGTCCCTGGGGGTTCCTCAAGCAGCTGTAGGACAAGGAGCTTGACTGTTTCATCTGACATCCCAGGGAAGGGGACCTGGCAGGTAAAGATCACCCTGGTGCACCGTGATATTGCTTCTCCCTGCAGTGCAGCCTGGTCCCAGGATCTTGCCCTTACTGGCCAGTTATTTTCATTTTATTTCTCTATTTTTTTCAAATTCCCATTGGTTTCTCTTCTTTCATGATTAAAACTACTGCACCAAAACTGATGCTTTTGCCAGAGAAGAAAATAAAATGGGTTGGGTAATAAGGAAGGATGGTGGGCACTGTGATTCTGGTTGTGATTCTTCCCAAAATGTTACCTAGCATCACAGAGTAGCTTGTCTGTCCCTCCTTCATTATCCACTAGAGGAGTCCAAGTGGTTAACTTCCTATTCCTGATAGAAGCAACATCTGCCCTGCCCAGGAAGTCTTCTCCTCAAGGTGAAATATAACAGACCTTGACAATCATAAACTCGTTCTAGAAAAAAATAAAAATAAAAACCTCATAATTCTTTTCAAAAGATAAAAAACAGTGAAACACTGCAAGCTATGACTACTTCATTCCAAAGTGTTACTTTAGGCCTGCTTCTTTCCTGCCTGTTGTGCCTGAAGTCATACACTTTTGGCATCTGGTAGTAGGAAAATATAGTGGCAATTGTTTCTGAGCTGTGGTAAATGTAAGGATGCTTCCAGTGGCTTTCTAGACCTCAAATAAAAGGACTCATATGGCTCATGTTGGGATCACCAATTTTTTCCAAAGCACATTCAGGTACATTTCAAAAAACAAGGAAATAAAAATATAGACCAAAAAGGGGAAGGACTAAGTTAGCAAGAATTGTTCAGCTAGGCTTTGGGCTCTTGTGTAGCTGTTTCAAATTATGCCTTATGAACCAAGAGCTTAGGCATAAACTGTCTTATCTGTCTTCGAAATGCGGCATCTCCTTGACTTCCCAGCTCTAGCCATGGGTGCCTCCGCCTCCTTCACCTCCCTCCTCTACACCACTTCCTGGCCTCTCTTACTCGGGGTCTGGGGCTTGGCGGAAGAAACCACCAACATCTGCTACAGTACACAGAATAAAGAAGAAAAAGAGGATCAAGGTGGCTTTTTGGTTTGGTTTTGTGTTAGAACAGAAACTTCAATGATGTCTGTCACTTATTTAGCAACTAATGTTTGTGCTTAAGGAAAATAAGAAAAAAGACTAATAAAGGATCAGAAAGTGCTGCTTTCGATATGTTCACCTGTGCACATCAGTACACAGGGGAGTGGGCTGTTTTGAAGGCATTCTCTTATTTTTCCAGTTATTCACTCTTATTAGTATTTCTTTTTCTGCCAAAAGGTTAACACATGCTGAGTACCATCATGTAGATGCTAAAAAAGCAAAATTTGTGTCATTTATTTCTGAAATAGCCTTACACCATGTGTATCTGGGTACATGGCAGGTGCTTAATAAATCACTGCCAAATGGATGGATGATTGATTCCTTTTCCTAAAAGGTTCAATTCATGAAATAGTGCTGTTTTCTTTTTTGTATCTGTATCTTATTCTGAAAAACATATCCCAGAAACAAAGGTAATCTTCTTTAGATAGGTTCAGAATTGTGGTAAAGAAACCAAGCGCCTTTTCTTTGCCCCTAGGACTGTTCATTAAGAATCCCATGAAGAACTAGTTTTTGAATTTCTAATGTCCAATAACTGTGTTCCTCATCACATTCACAGCGATGGTGCCACCGTTTACACCAGGAAAGTTTACCCAGAGATTTGGGTAGCTAAAATAACTTGAAGATATAACAAATAAATCCAAATCTGGGATGAAATAACGAAACTAAAATGTCATTACCCCACCAGGGTCAAGCACAAATAATTCTCTGCCCAAAATATCTGTGGGATTTATTCAACTTTAGCCAGAGCAGCATCAACCAGTCTTGAAGACATATCTGATTGTGGGATGTGATCACCATATCAAAACCCCACAAACTCTATACCTTCTTGAAAATCTGCTGGCAAATATATTGATTTAAAATATTTGTTGTACCATCGTGTTGAACCCCTGATGCTGCACATCTGAAATACATTTAAAAACATGAAGAGGCCAGATCATCCTATCAGCAACACACGCAAATTGAACAGAAATAAAAATGTAATAAAAATGACCTGAATTTCATTTGGTGAGAAAAGTTATATTGGATTCAAGAATTGCAAACACTTATTTGCTTTTCTTAGCAATTTTACGAGACCATATGATTATCTATCAAATCATTTTTAAACCTGATCCAATTCTACAAGTCACAAACTTCTATCCATCCAATAGTAACTTTCCTTGTTTCATCTGTCTCAAAGGATGGATGACGTATGTGTGTCCTATATTTAGGAGCTATGTCTTTCTCAGGTCTTTATCTTCCAAATGTGTCCACCTGTCTAGATGGCAGCCACATGGTCCCATAGTGATCTATTTTGGTTCTATAAAGTGCTGTTCTTAAACGTATTTGTGGAGTTTCATGATGTTTCAATAACCCACAAACGTTACTTTCACTGAGTGATAGAATCACTTCAGACCTCTCACAGCCTTACCACCGGAGCAGAAGATCTTTCTGTTCTTTAAAATTCACTGGACATGAGTCATGTGATTTGCTTGTGAAAGTTTCCACTAATGAGTGAAGTAGACCTTTGTCCAGGCCTGTAAGAACTTAGTAAGACAATAACTGATATTTTTAAATGGATTTATTCTCATGGTTGGAACTCAGATGATTGACAGAACCTGAGGATGACTTATAATTGCAAGTTCTTTTCTCATATGACCCAAGAATGCATTTAAATCTAACTCAGTGGGGGTGATTTAACCGTAACTAGCACACACCTTTCATAGCTGTATGTAGAATCAGATCAGAAAATTTAAGTCTAGATGGTGGGAAGTGAAGGAACTCATGAAACTATTATAGAAAGCAATGATAAAGCAATTTTTGAAAAAAAAATACTAAAGCCTCAAAGCTCAAAACCAGCCAAGAAATTCATGTGCCTTCTTCCTCCACGTTATATAAAATTTTGCCCCAATCCCTAAGCTCTTAGCTTCCAAGTCATTTCAAATACCTACACAATTTTTATAAGGACTGATCACCTGTAAATATTGTGAACAAAACATTTTTTCCCTTGATTTATATTAGTTAACTATTTGATTACTTAGATTAAATTTGGAAAAGAGAAGAAATGGCACCATTACCTTATACTTTCAAATAAAAAACATCTAGAGAAAAATATCTCCCTCCACTTTTGTCCTGAGCAAACCCTCCTCCAATGTAAACAGGATTTGACGCACCCTTGACTACCATCACTGGAATGAGGCTGCCTGCTCAGCTTGGGGGCTAAGGAGAAAGAGAAAGCAAATAGCTTTAGACCGTTTGTCAGAGTATACTCAAAGAATATACTAAGTTTTATCCTCATAATTGCTACCTCTCAAATGATGAAAGGTTAAGGTTTTAAAATTCTGAGAAATATTTGTCTCCAAATATCTAAGCAGAAAGAGGAAACAGGTTTGATTTAGTAAGTAACAATGATAGGCTTATTCTTATTATAGTAACATGATAGCCTTAATAAATTTTGCATTTGTGCAGAACTCTTAATTCTGGAAAGCATTCATGGCTGGGGTCTCCTCACAGTCTCATTTCCCTCCAGCATCAGTTGGTCCAGGGGTGAGGCATGACTTAGCAGAAGTCCCATGGTTATGTAAGGAGCCTTAAGCACTACACATAGTATTGCTCTGGGACTGATTT